CGAAGCAAAAGGCAGAGAGTCGAGTCGCGCCACGGCACCAAATGCCTCGCAGGGAAGATCAAGAGGAGAGAAAGTGCTATCAGGATCATTCCGACGGCGAAGCCATGAGAGAGTCGAGTGGTCTGAGGAGGGTCAGGCCGAGATGGGCGGCTGACGATGTTTGCAGCAGAGGAGCCCTGTCCGGTGCGGCCGAAGCTGTGGTGGATCGCTGTAGGCACCAACGTTGGGATCAGCCCGAGCGATCACGTTCCACCGCCTCGGCACCTGATGGTGGTGCCCCCACCCCACAGGGTCGCATCCACATCACGTGAAAGACCCCTTGCATGTCGAGTTGTGAGTGTGTTGTTGCATGGTGGCCGTTTCTCGTAATGTATCTTATTGCTATGGATTGTAATGGGGTTTCGTCGTCGAATGTGAAGTGATGCAACCCTCTACTATGGTCCATGATCCATGATTCGTCCCCCAATCTGGTCCCTTGGCAGTCATTATCATCAACATCGGAATCCCTTGCCCCGTTCTTCAAGTCAGCTACGACTGATTTTCACGAGCTGTTGCTATGCGAGCCGAGGATGTGGTGGAGTTTTTGTGCACGATCTACCTGCTTCTTGGCGTATTCTGCCCAGTGTGGTGCTTGAACTTGGTGAGATTCTCGCATACCATGGCCTTGGAAACGTCCTGCTTGGCGGCCCCACCAGTCGTGAGCTGGAGGCAGTCGCAGCACTTCCAAGACAGTGTGACAACATCCAAGGGCGTGCAGTTGTGGCACATGGCGTGGTTGCATAGGACTTCGTGGCATGTCGTGCCGTTGCAGAGGCTACGGTTGTTCATTTTGGGGGATTTTCGAGTTGCGTGTGATCTGACTAATTTGATCATGTCTGTCTGGTTGGCCTGAGTATGATCGAAACTTGGGAGAATATCACGCATCTTTAAAGAGGATCAAGGGATGTGCCAATTCACTGTAACTCCTAAATTCACCACGCTCGAGAACGTGGATTAAGAGTGACTGTCTACCTAGTCTGAAGTTGGCATTGGCTTAGAGCTAGAGCACATATTTTTACTGCAAAGAGCCCCTAACAGTCCTTGTAAAACCAAGCACAACCTACCTTCTACTTAGTAGGTAGATAAATAAGTCGAACCACCTACTTCATTCACTGCCAGGAACGCAACCCTATCGTCGCTTGATCCCGGTATTCATCAGTCAATCGTCGTTCCTGAGCAGCACTTGGCCCGTGCGCTGACGTCACATCCCCTCCAAGGCAGCAGCGCACCCTAACACTCCTGCCACTCTGGTCTGCCCCTCGCCTGCCCCTCTCCTGCCCCTCCACCCCTCCCTCAGTGCCGTGTCAACCCAACTCTATCCGGCTACCGTACCACCCGGAAATACCCCCCGTGTCTCGCCAAGTCTCCCAACATCTCCCTCCTCAGATCCTCTCGAGAGATCAGTTTCATCATGTCGTCACGCGGGGTTCCGGAGGTTCTCATGAAGAAGGTCGACGAGTACGTCGACTCGCTCGCTCCACAGATCGAACCCCGCATCACGGCCGAGCTCGAGACATTCCAACAAAAGACCATCGACAGCCTCGAGACACAAGTCGTCGACGCCTTTCGTTCCCTCTTCAACACGGACAAGAACAGCTCCGGTGACGCTTCGAGGGGATTCAGCCTCAATAACTCTGCGCCCGATGCCTACGGCGGCCAGTCGCTACCCTTTGCCGATGAGATTGCCAGCCTGACGCGCGGGTTTAGCAAGATTACGGATGAGGCGAGCGATGATCTCCGTGACATTTTTAACCTTACCGAAGGCGGCGGCGGCGGCGGCGGCGGCGGTGACACCCGTTCGCGTGGTGGCCCCGGCGGCAACAGCTCCTCGTCTGGCGCCAGGGGCTTCCTCTCCGCAGCCTTTGACATAGTCCAAGACCAGCTCGACAACAACAACAAAAGCTCCTCCGGTGGCCAGGGGTTCAAGCTCGACGGCCTCCTCGGCGTTCTCAGTGACACAGTCAAGGACGCCTCGCGCAACCCCGAGGAGAAGGCCCGCCTCATCAGCCCCGAGATCAAGGAGAAGGTCGGCCTCAAGCTGCGGGAGCAGCACGCGCCCATCGCCGCCCAATTTACGCGCCTCGGCCTCGAGCACATCAAGACCTGGGTGCGCCGGTAACCCGAGAACGCGAGACTTCGGGGGAGGGCGTCGAGGGGGAGAATTGAAGACCAGGTCAAGGATCTCGGCCAAGGGCCTCGGTGGCCTCTTT